TTTTACATTTGTGTGACTTTAAAATTTTAGACAAGATTTACTGTTCAGAATCGAACCTCTTATATATTTTGTTCTCTTTTTTGATCATGCGATTGATTCAGTATCCTGGTTGCCATAAATCATATAGTCGTTTGGAAAATTTGAAAACACATGTGCGAACACATACAGGAGAGCGCCCATATAGATGCGAATTCCCAGAGTGTGACAAAGCATTCAGTAATGCATCCGACAGAGCTAAACATCAAAATCGCACTCATTCTGATACAGTGCGCATATTTTCTGTATCATCAAATATCAGCAAAAAGTTCAAAAAATTTTGTTATATATTGTATCGAGAACTTTCAATCTTAAATATCATCTTAGTTAGGAGTATTATAATTCTTTAAAATTATCTCATTTGGATTCCAGAAGCCTTATCAGTGCATGATTGATGATTGTGTGAAAAGTTACACTGATCCATCTTCGTTACGAAAGCATATAAAATCTGTTCATGGTGATGAGGCTTATGAATCAGCCAAACGAAACAAGGTAAATAATAAGCGTCGCACTGGTACAGCATCAGATATATCTCAGTCTTCATCAAGGTAAGTATTTTTCTGTATTTGATTCATGCTTAATCTTGTAGCTGTTTATGTCGATTTGTCTTTTGCTTATTTTAAACGAACTTCGTGCAGTTTTTATTACCAAAGCTTTAGTTGAATAGTCATAATCATAATGGCAATGAAAATAAATTTATTGATTATAATGAATAATAAATAGTGAATAATAAATAATGAATAATAAATAGTGAGAAGCAATAGTAATAATTGCAAAATTCATTTTGAAGAATATGTAAAGCTCACTATCGATTCAGAATTTGGAAAAGCTATAAAAATAGTCTCATTTGTTGTAGGAGTGCTGTTGAAAGACATCACGATGATAGTGATGATGAAATTTATCACGTTAATTCGCCAACTCGAATGATCTTATCTGCTTGTTTACGTTCAGTAGAGAAAAGTAATTGTAACGTTTATTTATTTGAATTCTCTCTATACCTGATATCGACATTTAGTTTCAATATGTTTATTATTCAGTTGGTGAAGATATGAAAGGGGAGAATATTCGCAGTAGTAAAAAGAAGAGGCCAAAGAAAGTGGTTTTGCCTCATAATTCAGAAAATTGTTGGGCTGGTATGCAGTATGGTTCGAGGTTACTATTTATTTTTGATTCTTATTATTTATAGCGGTTTTAAAAATGTTTTTTGCGTTATTTAAAGACTGAACCATAATAATAACTAAGAGAATTACTATTGTATTTATACAACATACAGAGCTGGTCCATCATCCCCAGATTCTGGCGGTATCAACTTACAAACGATATCATCGAATGATTCAAACCTTAATTCATGCACACTAAAAGCTCCGAATTCATCAAATTCATCAAACACTAATGGGAGTAATACATCAGTGTTTGGTGGTCGTAGAGATTTTTGTGTTGATCGCTTTCTTCAGAACAGAAGTAAATTTAATTTTGAGGAGAAAATTTTTTATTTGTATCACTATGGAATTACGCAGTTCACACTAAAAAACTAAAAAAGTCTCGGAAAGTACAGAATTGATCAAGTTCTCGTCAAACTAAAAAAGTCTTTTTCTTTGGAAGTTACAGAATTGATTTGCAGGACAGTTCAATGACAGCAGGGCTTTTGATGAAAGCTCATTTAATTATGAATGCCATCCTCGTTATGTTGACCGTTCGCCGTCACCATCTTCAGAAACAAAAGATAGGATGGCAAAATATCGAAAAAGTTTGACTTTCTCGTTTCTTTGTTTATTTCGATTTCCAAAGTTTTTCAAGGTCTCTGGAGCTGGATCATATTCTGGCATTCTTGCTGCACTCGCCTCGCTCTCAGTTCTGCTCTATTGCTCTTCGCTGCTTCGTCCTCGTCGAGTTCACGGCGCTGATCGAATGGGATACATTCGAGCGTCTTATTTAGCGCTATCGATTGGATATTTGCCTCGTTGTGATCAGGTACACTGATTTCCTTCGCGTAATGTTTATGGAATTTCGTCACTATCCTATTCCAAGTCATCACATACGGATTTATTTTGATCCTGCATTTCATCTCTGATTCGTTTATTAACCATTGGGTCATAATTGCGTTTTTTTCGGTCTTGACTGCTGGCAACTTGTCCTGATTAGTGATGCCAATCTCTTCAGGATTACTTCAGGCTTCTTATCGTGTATCATAATATCCAATCGATCTGCATTTATCTTTATAGTGTTCTTACTCGTGTATCGACTCTAATCTCGACGTTCTCATTCGCGATGACCTCCTGAACAGAATAGCTTCGCATGCGCGGTAATGTATTCAGACCAAATTTTTTGCGGAGTCGCAAACGGATGCATCGTAGTACCTCACTGTGTCTTATAATAGTATCGTGACATAACAGTACTGCGTTGCTAGATGGTCCACCGTCTTCACACGATCCCTAAAATGTTAGCGCATACTTTTCTTAGTTTCAGATATATTTTTATCTTGGACGTGTTGCTCACTATCTTGTGAGAGGATGCATTTCGAATCGCAGTTACAGTAATGAATTTGCTATTAAGGCTCGCTCATTACTAGGCATTTCCAACAGCTTTGCATGACTAATTTTCTCCTCTCTTTTGCTATACAGGAGTGCTTTGTGAGCTAATATAATTTTGACGACTGATTTTTCTGCAAGGTAGTATTTAGTACAACAGCTGATAAATACATAATGTGAACCTTCTCCTGCTTCAGAATCGCTGCCCTTCTGCTAGATACAAGCGCGATTTCTGTTATTAAACGGCTAAAGCATAAGCTTACTCTTTTGTTCAACGCTGTGAAGCCTGCGTCCAGGTTCATCCTTTTGCATTCTCTCCAAATATGCAGGCTGGCGAGAATTTCCGTCTTTATTGAGTAACTATCTACCTATGGCTTTGAAGTTTTCTAGCTTTTGTTTGAGCACCTCTTATAATATTTTATTAAACTTTCTAACGTGCTCATTTACTACCTTGACAAAGTTCTTGCTGTTTAGTGCAGTTTTGGATCGCTCTATTCTCACCAATACCTCTACTCTGACTTTATCGTAACTTTCATAGGTAGGTGCACTAATCTCGTCTTCCACTATTTAAGAGTTTTTTTCAAATGCGCCGTCTTATCAGCGCATATCTCAGTGAGTGGCAGACTTCTCTTGATTTACTTTTAACCCTATTATTTCAAAGAACATTTAGACTTCTTCGGCCATGGCTTTCATGTTATCCTTGTCGGTCGCAAAGATCTTAAGATTATACACAAACAATAAATAGTTCGTTACATGTACCTTAGGGTACCTCATATTAAGCCGACGGCTCAACGCGTCTATGCACAAAACAAACAGCAGTGGAGAAAGGCTCTCACTTGAAAAGTTTATCGTTGCATTTGCTTCTCTATTACAGTTTCTCCACTGCTTTTCAGTACAACTGCCCATGGGAATTGATGTTTTCTCAGAAATCTTCTGATTCACGATGGCATGTTGAGATTTCAGTGCTCCTAATCAGGTATTCGTGATTAACTAGATCGAAGATTTTTTAAATATCATACTAAGTTGTGGCTAGCCGGTTTCCGTACTCTCTGCATACAGACATGTTCAAGAGTGCCTACTCTTTCGAACCTGGCCAACAGTTCCCAGTAGATTGTCTGCAAATAATCTTTTTGTGGCACCATTCAAAAAAAACCGAGCCTGGAATCATGAGTGAAAACAAATGGAAAGTGAGTTTGTAAAGAAAAGCACTGTGAAGGATATTGGAAAGCACTCCACTATTCGCCGGAACCAGTAGAAGTGGATGCGGGATGAGTACAGCAAGAGGTCCTGGGTCCTGAATACGATTTAATGCAAAAATCAAGATTCAGTAGGGAGATTAACCTCCGAAATTACTAGACACTATATTGTTATGATGTTTACATCATATATATGAAGAAAGAAAAATTTTCTATTTCAAACATATGTATATATATATATATATATAATTTCATAACCTGACTTTATCAGGTCGTGAAGAATTTATGTACCATCCAGGAAAAGTTACCTCTATTGCGGACGGTGGTAGTGACGTTGTAGGCGTTGCATTGAACCATTCAGTACTGTCAGATCAAAAGTAAGTTTTAATTGCTGTCAAATATGGAATTTCTGATTTTGATGTCTATGAAAAGCTCTGGGAATCATGAAAAATGGTATAACAAAAACAATTGCTATCATATTTCAGTCATTCGGTGGAACAGGTTGCATTTGCTATGGAACGCGTCAACCTTCATCCAGTGGTGGATGATCGTCTTTCTGTCACTCATGGTAGACAGCGACAAGGAAGCCACAGTAATCCGGTATCGCGACATCATTCTGTATTTAAAAAAAAATTTTGAACTTGAAAAAGATTTCGTTTTAGTATTTTATGTGCCTAAATCTTGCTAACATGTCTTAATAATTATGCTCCATAGCATAAATGTATTTTAGTATGATGGTGACTATGAAGATTTCGATCCTATGGACCCATATCCTACTTCAGTTGTTGACAATGGTAGTATTGTTACTTCTCGATTAAGTTATCAAAAATGTATTTACTATATCATTTAACCTTTGGCTAATATTTTTCTAAGAAATATGCAATAGGGTGTTTGTTCGAGTCGAAAAATGTACTCAAATTATAGACTTCATATTGTTTCTCTTTATAGTTTCTGCTGTTGCTGTTGTTGAACAAGGAGTGCAAACATTCGAGTGGGAATCGTTAGAGAAAAAATTTGATGTGCCTGCACCCATGTTAATTCCTACACCTCCATCAAAAATTATCGAAACTGCAGAAGGTTCGACAATGGTGAGTTATTTGTCTATATAAACTAATGTTGTTGATAACGTCAAAAAAGGTGCTAGCTGAAAAATATTGTTATTTAATAATTGTCAGTAGTTATTTCTCACCATTCAAAATAGGCAAATGATTAGTGCTTTTATTTATTCTATTAGTCACTATTAAATTATAGCAGTGTTTTGGAGTTTTTGTAACAGTGGTTAAAAAATATAACAAAAACTCTAAAAACTAAACATGAATTAAATTATTTTGCAGACTTGTTTAACGCCAGTAGAATTGTCAACAATACTACCGACAGCGGAACCTCACGATGAAAATTACGGTTACAATGTGGGTGGCATAAGTTCATCAGTGACGCATACATCTCATCGTACTGTGAATACTGAAACTGCGCAAGAAAGTGGGACATATAAGATTGAACAATTAGGTCATCATTAAATGTGCTTTTATTTTTTTATTGGCTATTCATTACATCAATTTATATTTTGCTATTATGCACTGCAATAGTTATCAAATGTTGTGTGGTTCATTGTAGATTTTTAAAGATGCATCTTTGTTAAGGAAAATGAACAGTCAATGAAAAAGGATTGCTTAAAACATGTAGTAAAGTTTATGTTGAAATTGAAAATATTTATACACTTTTCAATATATATGTGCAAGGAAATATTGAAAACTGATGTTTTTATGCATTGCTGATTAAAGTTCAAATTCAATCCTTCATTTAATAAGGAACGTTGCAGGTGACCAGTGTGCAGATATTGGTGCAAATGAACGATCAAATTCAATTACTGGAAACAGTTTTTGTATAGATTCAATACCCTCTAATGAGTTCAGTATGGATCCAGTACTTCCAAATGTCCTGATGCAACAAATGATGGGAAGTACTGCAAGCTCGCAGTATTCTGCATCCCCAGCTTCTTATTCAGCAGCACCTTATTCAGAGCAGTTTACGGATCCGTTAATGATGTCATCTTGTATGCAAGTTAGCCCTGATCACGTAAGTCCAGTTACTGGTAACGACATATTAATGTTACTATTACCACATATAATCTCGAAAGTCGTTGCTAATAGGATATTCTTTTGCACACCTATATATTCATTTTATTTCTTTTGTTTGTGCGTAGTGTTTTGTGCATGATACCTTTCTTCAAAGCCCTCATCAGCACTTCATTCAACAATGTTCACTGAATTATATAAGTTGTTTTGCTTTTACTTATTAATGATGCTTTGCTGTTAGCTTTACAGCTTTTCAGGCTTATAGCTCCCTACTTGGTCTAAATCATTTTGCCCCTGTTTACAGTCTGATGGAGTCGATAATCCAGTCATATCTACATATAACATTATGGATTTAATAAAGTTCTGCTTTTTTAAATATTTATACTAAATCAAAAGCTTATGAAATAGACTGGGATGTTTTGCTTATTGTTAACAAATGTGACTAATTTCAAATAAAGCTGTAGATTAGCAGTTTGAATCAGGACTAATATCGTTGTGCTTGGAAATAATTCTGTAGTAAATTTTCGCATTCTCAGAAAATTTGGGGTGCTTTTTGGATTTTTGTTCGATCTATATTGTATATTGTGTTGTGACATGCACTGAAAATTTTTTATTGTTTTATGATTTGTGATGAAGTTTAGAGCAATTTTGCTGGGAAGTTTATATATGCCTGCATGTTTGCAATATTGAATATTCTACTTGCCATTGAAAGTGTGGTTACATAACTGTCCTTTCAAGTTCTATCCACAGGTATACGTTTTATTCATTTTTTTAATACTTCACTCAAACACTCAGATAAATTCGATATATTGGTATTTTTTATTTTCGTGTTAAAACCGGTGTGAAATACCATAGTCTTCTCTTTTCTTCTATGCTGAAAACTAGTTTTAAAGTGCCAGTAAGCTGAAAAAATTTACTGTGGGAGCATAATTTTCGATTAGTCAAATCAGCTGATATAACGCAGGATTTTCCGATGAAAACAAGTCAGTTTCCAATGAAATGAGTGAGACTGGAGAGAGCAAAAATTGCAAAATGATGTCGTCATAAAATGAATCCAGCTCATAATTCTTCCAACGATAGTTGTACGCATACGGAACTGAGATGCTGTTTTTGAAACACTCAAGTTTGATGATGAAAAAAGAGTCGTTTCTCGAGGTGGAGGATTCTGTTTAACAAATTTTTGAAGAGAAATGTTTCTAATCAAAAGACGCTTACTCAGCAATTTGATGTTCGATCTATAATACAAGCTGCTAATAGATTCATTTATATTTCGAAATTAGTATCCTTAACAAATCTCTTGTTCCCATTGCCAAATTACGGTTTGCTTGTTAGGGAGAGGTACTTCATACTAACAGTTTTTCCCATATTTTCACGCTTTCTTTATATCATATTACGATTAGGAAGCATACATTTTGTGGTATGAATAATTCACGTACTTATTTGATAGTTTATGCGAGTTGGGAAACATTCATTAACTTGAGTAATCGTCATAAAAATATGTATAGTAATTTATATTACTTGAGTGGGTTGTGGGATTTATGTGATTCTATTTTGGCTTCTTTTACTAATACTACAGCAGTGTTTACAAAATAAAAAGCTGTTTAGTTTTTTGAATATGTAAAGTTTAAAAATGTTAGGATTAAATATATATAACCATTCAGTAATTCGATTGTTGCAGCCCGAAAAACATTCACTGCAAGATCTGGGTAATTGTGATTTATTTGGTGACTTACCTACTGTGAATCCAGTTGTGCTCAATAATAGCAATCATCTTACTTCTTTCGAAAGCATCCAATTAAAAAATATGGAATCAGACAGCAGTCAAACTCAGAAGGATCGTCTAGCTCAAGATTGAGAGTTGGTTTTATGTTTCATATAAAAAATTATCAAAATTTTTTTAGGAGCATTAAGAGCATTAAGCCTGTATGTAGAATATATGAAGCCTTCGTTCTTGAATCATTCTGCACTTTTTCAGGTTTTATTATTTTTCTAATCATACAATTTTGTTTTGTTTGAATGACAAAGAACTGCCAGGATACTTCTAATTAAAATCAGCAAAGCTATTTTTGTACAACCTCCATATCATTTTGTAAGAAATGTGAGTTTATGATTATTAAAGATACTAATAACATAGTATGCGAAGGAAAAATTTTATACACTTTTATTTTTGAAAAATCTGAGTAGAATTTGCTTTGTAAGACTGCAGCACTTTGAGGAATCAAAATATTATCTTTAGTAAAACATTACAGTTTTGAAATGTTACAGAAATGTCTAAAACCATTTTATAATTTTACTTATTCGCATTATGCTCAACTAAATATATGTTCCATAACTGTTATTTCAGTTATGTTTTAGATGGTGCATAGCTCCTTTTTGAATAATAGAAAAAAAAGACATCATGGAATTTTGTAGTGGCGATTTAAAAGACTGCACCTTGATATTCTTTTCGGGTGATTTTTATTTTATTTTTATTTATTCAGTTTATATTTTGCGTTATTTGGAGGCTGGAAGGAATTCGGTCATTCGGGTATATGTTTTCCTAGTCGATAGACTAATATACGTTCGTTATTTTGTCCTTGCTGATCTTTGCTTCTTTAATGTAAAGAATTTCACTAGATTCATTGTTTTTTAATTATTCAGTTCTACATGGTCAATTTATGTGGATTGTGAAGAACATTTAAACTTATTTTCAGTATTTTTGTACCTTCATTTCGACTCATGAAATTTTTTAATTCAAGCATGAAATCTGGCAAAATAATACTTGTCATCTGAAATTAATTTTTGGCATTGTAAAGCTAGTAGTATATGATATTTAAATTTGTTCGCTGAAAAACTCAGTAGTCGCTAAACTTTTCGGTTAATTTAGATGTTTATTTGAATTCCAATTTATCAGGATTTGAACATGTTGGGAATTTGTTTTGAATTGTTATGTATCATTTTGTCGAAATTTATGTGATCATTTTCTTGAGGATCAAATCTTTGAGCAAAACCATTATGACTTTACAAGTCAAAAACACAACTACATTTTGTTCTATCTTTAAAATATCATTGTTTCTTTCATCATACTACAAATAACTGCTGGATACGTTATGAGTGAAGTGAAGCACATTGAAGTTCAAATAGCTGAACTGCTTCACTGCAGAAATTCCGAACTCGCAATAACATTTGTTTTGCCTCAGTAATATTTGCACTTGAACTTTGTTTTGTGCTTGCTATTTTGCTTATACTACTGAGTTAATCGTTTTTATATTCATATTAAAGCACCAACAGTAGTATTTTTATTCAATTTCTGTATAAAACTCTTCTTTTTCATGTGAACTAGAATCAAGATTTGAGCTGCATCATGTTGATTATAAATGTGCTTTTTGGGGTAATAAACTTGGAACAAAGTTGTGGAGACATTCGAAGTAGTGATTTTTTGGGACTGTAACATAATGTTCGCAGATGAAAATAACAGATCAGGTTTCTAATATCTTAAATTAACTGCACCGGGAACATGTTTTAGCAAAACTGTATGTGCTTTGTTTTCATCAAATATATGCATTATAAAGGATACACATTCTTCTAAGGGTAAAGACATACGATAAATGTGCTTTGATACATATTTTAGGTAACTATATCTTATATAAAAATCTTAGACTTGAAGTATCTTCGGTTACAGCAATAATACGTATTAATAGAGCTTTCACGAAGTACACTAGTTAAGGTATGTTCAAAAGCAAAAAAGGAGGTGAAGACAAGTGCAATAATTTTAAGACGTATAGGTAACCATGTCATATATCCTCGTGATTTTAGAAAAATCCATGAAGGTACTAATTTTTGGCTGTACCTTACAGTTTTTGTTAGCTCCTCCAAGTCAGAACTTTTGATTCGATAACTTGGTTTTATGAGGCGTATTCTGAATATTTTGTTTTGGAACAGTAATATGTATGCAGTTAGCGTAGAACTTCGGCAGTTAATCTTTAATCATATTTACAAAAAACTCTTCTTCAGCTAGTTGCAGAGATCAGTTTAATTTAAACAACTTTATTCACAACGTCAATTTCAGCTACTAATGCTCTAATTATCACGATGTTCTTGTAGATACATATGAATCACTTGAACAATCGGAGTTTTACAAAAAGGGCATTCGCTTGCTTTCTGCTGCAGTTGAATTGCTTTTTCAAAACATCCCAAAACACAACCGCAACCTTTTGGCCCACCCGCAACGGCTGATAATTGATTGCAGCCACATAAGATGCATTTTTTGGAGCGAAAACATATCCTCCCTATTCCATTCACTAAAATCATGATTGTGTTTAGCAGCTATGCAAGCAAAAATGCAATAAACTAATTTGGTATACTACAGTTTCTTATCAATGCAACAAATTAAGCTTCTTCGTGCTTGAAATACAAGACATGGGTTCTCAATATTTTAGTTCGTTTGATCTATAGATTCTACGATGTTCTGAAGTGGAAAATTTGTAATATGCCTTCTATGATAAGCTTTAGTAATATGCCATCTATGATAAGGCATATTACTAAAGCTTATCATAGAAGGCATATTACTGAAATTGGCATGCCATTTTCAAATACAAAATAAGCAATTTTTTCTTAACTCCATATTTTCCGAAGTTAAGAAAATGTATCCCTGATGAACTTACTCCGAACATGACTTTTTGAAATTCTTAAAACATTTATAACTTTTAACCGAACTTTTTCATAAACAAAAAACTCACACTGTTCCCGGCAAATAGGGCAAAAAACAATAGGCGGCGATTTTTGAGATGATTCCGTCAAAGCTTTCTTTCGTTCGTTTGATATATAATTCTTATGGCACTCACTGCAAGACACAGCGTGACCACAAGGTACGAGTAATGTGTCTATTTTTTTCTCGCAACACCATGAACAAAGTGGTTCTTGTGACTGCAAAAAAAATTAGTCAATACCACAATAAAAATAAATGTCACGAGTGTTCTGATAAATCCTACAAAAATCTATATATCTTTGAAATAAAAGTTTTACTGCATGCAAGTTTTCTTTAAACTTCGCTATTATTCAAGCGGCAATCACTAACACTATTAAGTGCGAGCTGAATATTTGCTTTTGATGAACATGGAATACTCTCAATACTTGTTAATGTTGCCAAGGGACGATTTCTTAAATGAACCCATTTTACCATGTCTGCAGCATCGAGTAAAGCGAAATTACACATTTTTGACTGCAATTCATTAGATAAGCATTTTTTCAGAAAGTTTTTAATATAATTCAGTCAAAACTTGGTTAAAAAGAGCGGAGATTATTTACTAAATAGCAATGCTCAAAATTATACTGCAAGCCATATATCGTCACTTTATCGAGATGTGTTAATGACAGTCATTTTTAATCAATTTTGAGAAACAAGTAGAAGAAAAAGACTAAAAATAATATAAACTGCTTTCTGAAAACACGATGTTATCACTAGTCGTACACTACAATCTTTTTTCAATTTTAAAAAGGTCCAGATCACCCTTAAAAACGAAATTCTGAACATTCAATTTTCAATTAGTCAATTCTTTTTGTATTTACATATTTCTGATTTTTATCTCGCCTCTATGCCATGAATACAAAGAGAATACAGCATTTGAGCAAAATAATAATATGTAGGATGTTACCGATATCAAAGTACAAAACTTCGAATTTTGTTTTCCATTCCAAAAACTCAAACTGCTGTTTTCCTCACATTTATTTCACCTCATATATGTTAAGTCCATGACATAACATTAATCTTTTTTCATGTCAGTGTCAAATAATCGAAAAAACTGCAAAATCTACATAAATTGCTTACTTCTTCCTCCGGCTCAAAAATTTCACAGCTTGAAATTCCCAAGTAAATGTCGCATACATTGGGTGGCAACTTGAAAAAATGATCGGGGATACTATAAGTCAAATTTCTACCGAATCGTACACTAAATCCACCAGTTTGAAATTGGACAAATATGCTAAGGAACTCATCTACAACAATGATTAAATAACAAATCGTTAATGCAAATTGAATCAGTTCAATGCTTGAATGAATAATTATCGAAAAATTTGAATAAAAAGTGAATTAACTGTTAAATATCCCAACTTAATACATCGAAAACTTACTTTCATCTCAGGTTTTCGTACTCTCACTTCATATGAACAATACACTTTCCCAAGAAAGAGGGGAGAATTGTGAACTAACTTTTTTTGACAGGCTCATAAAACCAGTTACAATCCCGATAATCGGACCATTTTTTGAACAACATGTTTCTGTTGGGATTCATGTCACTGGCAGCTATCTGAGCGGCCGATCGGCATGAAAAGCCAATTGTTGGTAATTCCATCAAATCAGTCTGGTGTTTATACAGAATAAATGATGTTTGGTGAATAACTAAGCCAAAACATCACTTTAAACAGAATTTTAAAAAAGGATTGAAAAATTAAGACAATAATAATATCATGCAATGCGCTCATATTTAAGAGTCAATTTTTTCTGCACTAATAAAATTACTTCAAATGATAGAAAAACTAGAGGTACAAAATATAAAGATTAGTGCAGTGCATCTCATATCACTACGATACATCATGTGCGTGTAAATGCTTATGACTGTAATCCATATTATATTTCGTACGAGAAATCTTAACCTATCATCTCATTCATTTTTCAAATTAAGAAAGTAAATTCGTTCATTCAAGAAAAACTAACCATAAAAATTATCGTAATAAGCGGTGAAGAATGACTTTCAATGTATTGCCTGAGTGAAATATCGGCCACTAAACAGTTTTCAAATCGTTTAAAGTTCATTGTATATTTTAAAGTATCCCGACCAAAAGATAAAAAACGTTGTTCTAGTGAACAATTCTAAAAATGCTTAAAGGAAGTTCACATAGAGCAGTGTATCTTTATTGTTAGCTGAAACCACAGAAACATACCCAAACAACATGCTTTACCATGAACGTCCCTTTAGTTTGGGAACGAAAATTTCATATTGCATAGTCACCATGGCACATTAGAAAATCATAGTATTGCAGGAATACGATCGAGTATTGTAAATTCTGCAATTTCTGGTGTGCCTTCTGCATTGAGACAAGTAGTTGCACACCTTTTCTTTTTCGAGGATTTGCTTTTTTATTATATCGTTTTTTGAACATTATTTCCGCATAACTGTACTATATTTGTTTTTATTGTAAGATGGTGACTGATGTAGTGGCAAATATATTGGTAGAAATTGTATCTCATGTTATTGTGATATGTACCATAGTCTTATTTTATGCCAGTAATGTACTAAACTATGCTTCCTATAAGTGTAATGTATTTATGAAAATCTTTGTGGCTATTTTAGGTACTTGATTATTGGTATCTGGTCATCCAACTCTATAAAGGTGAAAAATTTTGATGTTTAAGTTTATATCAATGTAATATAGAATGCAAGTTAAATCAGTTCTTATCATGAATTACAGAGAAAGTTGATCGAATGACATATTTCACAAATTGGGAAGAATTTAGTAAAGCCGTTGACCGACTTTGCATCACTAATCCAACAAGATGCAGGTTTGTCTGTCACTTTCTCTTCTGTTAAGCTTTGAGATGTTCAAGTAATGCTTTGCACAGATAGAGCAGTCTGATTATACTTGTAAAAGATAATTGTGGAAAAACATTACTCTTGTGTGTGTGTTTTTTTTTCGGATCAGTCATGTTTTCAAGTAATATGAAGTTGTGGTCTTCAGCCTATACTATATTTCTTACATTGATTTGCAACGAGATGTAATATTATACAAATTTTAAAGTATCAGCACGTTTGCGATTTCGCATTTTTTATCTACTAATGCACGATTCTTAAAATATATGTCGAATTCATTTTGTCTAAAAATAGCTTTAAAATAATACATGTTATTGTTGAAAAATTCAGACGACTTGCAAAACCTACCGTTTAATGTTACTTTCTGTCATCACAATTTATATTCATATGTAGCAATCGCTTCATATAGTGACATCTGTCATCGTTGTTGAGAGTTTTTTTCTCATTCACATGTCAGTTTACAAACAGTGGCATCATATTTTATAAATTTATTTCAGATTTACAACCAAATATAGTCCGAAAGAAGGCAAAATATTGCTTAAGTTTACGGATAATGTTGTTTGTTTACAATACGCGACAGATCAGCTGCAAGATATAAAGCGCTTAGAAAAGCTAACTGCGACGTTGATGAGGCATCTTGTTTCGAAATCGTAGCTGTTGTTAAGATTTTTTCATTCAACTATTTCATTTTTTTCGCAAACTTATGTTCTGCAAGTTGAGTATCAGGTTATACGATCAAAACTATAGTCGTCATTATAAGTTTTAGATTCACACAAGTGATGGGTCATATTTTTAGCTGTGTTTCTGTTCTAGAAAATGTCTAAAGTTTAAATTAAAATGATATTTTAAAGTAGATTGCAATTTACAAGTACTGAATGACATTTGAACTTTTAGAATTTCGTTGTAAGAATTATGGCCTGGTTTAAAGCATTGAGTAGTAACACTAGCTTTTTGAGTCTTTCATATGCATTCTCAAGTTTAGTATATGAGTAACACATTAACCGAAAATCACTTAGTTGACAAGGTTAAGGAATACTATGCAACTTTTCGCACTGAATTCTTTAATTTCACATTCTTTTATGTTTTCACAAAATCCTGGTATTTGTGGTTAGTATGGAGTCGCTTTGTTTGAAATAAAATAACCAGTTATTCATTAAAAGTTTGATGAATTAACTGATTTTGGAAAAAGTCACTATAGCATTTATAAGTTTAAAAAATAAATCTAATGAATTTAGGTAATGGCATATAAGCAAAATAATTTTGAAAGATTTTAAATCCATATTTTTAGTGAATTTGTTTTCTGTCTCTGACTCATGTTTATGTAGCTCAGCTAGTTTTTGTGTTATAGGAGGGATATTTCTGTGCATCAGTACTAATTTGGTGAATTCAGCACTGAGATTAATTCACCAATTACAAAAATTATATTCATTTTTCCATGATATTGTATTTTTTCAGTGATATTATAAAATGTGCACAAGATTCTTACGCGTTTATTATCACAAACCACTTCCTCAGTTGCTCTTATTTATGTATTACAGTTATTTTCACTAATATTTAAATGTTGCTTTAACAGAGCGAAAAAAACTACAATTTTACCTGTATTCTATGCTATACAGTAGCTATATGGGAATAAATTTTTTTGCTTGAAGTGAGTTTTATTTGTAAAGCTTTTTAAGGCTTCATTTATTTGTACATGTATCGAAAATACTTTTAAAAATGACGCATTACTGCTCGCATAGAAAACTTCGTGAAAAGTAGGAAACAGATATACTATGGTTCAGAAGATAAGCTTCACAGATTTCAGTTAGAAGAAACGCTCCCGAATAAAAGTTTATACTACGTACATCAGAAATTGATAAGGATTTAAAGAACGCGCATGCGATATTGTAATTATTCACTTTCCATTTTAAAAGTAAAAAGATTACCTTGAAAATTTAAGAAAATATGAGTGGATTGTTAGAGTTTCCTTACAACTTTCGTATAGTTTTCCTCTATGGCATGCTACGATTTATTGAAATTAGTGAGTTATTTGATCACTATTCATTAAATATTATTTTGAGTCTTATGAGACTGAATTATCTTACTAGTTTGTTATTTGTATCAGATCTTTGTACTACTAAAAAGTGTTAAAAGCAGCTCAAATGCATATTGGCAATCATTTCCGAAAATTTAGTCGTTGCATCACTTCACTGTACCACGCTTTCGCTTCTAAATTTTGGTTATTTTAAGGTTGCTTTATCTTTATTTATGATTACTGTAAGTTCATATATTTGTCAATATTATGCTAAGCAATAATGTTAAAATGTGGTAGTGAAAAAGATTGGATTGCTATGGCAGTGATAATAGTAGTAATATTCATTCATTTCGATTATTAGTCTCTAAAAATCCTCGCAATACAATTTTTAAATGAAGAAATTTTTAATAAATGAAGCAAATTTTAAAAGCAGTGAAGTTGCTGATATTATCTGCTAGTCTTTTCTTACTTGAAAGTGTAAACGAACTATGAAATGAAATCCGACAGGTGGTCTACCATAAATTAAGCAGTATTTGACTGGAAATGATAATTTTGCCAAAAAATTGATTTATCATATTTTGTAGTCATTAATCACTAATTATTAATGAATAATTACGATTTTGCATTGTGAGAGAACTGAAGAATTAGTCAGTTTTCAAACATTAGAAAAATCTTTGTTCGTTCAGTCGTTCATATGAAGTCTGGGAGGAGCAATTCGTTTAAGAAAGAGGGAAACGAAAGACTTGAGGTGTGTATATGATGTGATCGGTATAGTACTGGTGTTATCATTATAAAAAAGAGTGAGGACGAATCAAGCAGATAGCTCGAGATCTAATAGGTAGCTCGTGATTCAGTAGAGGGGATTAGAGTGAGAGCTGAAGCCTGACTTGAGAACATTTCTGCATCTATCTGGTGCTTTGCATCTTGCTTAAGTTTTTCTGAAAAATCTAGCCGATGAGACAACGAAGTCGAAACTGCCTGTTACTTTCAGTTATTCGTTCTTAGTTTGCCTTCAATCTTTCTAAGTATTATTCTTGTTTGCACTGACTAGTTTTTAACTATTTATTTACTTGTTTTTAGTGCTGAATAATTACTCAAAATATACTTGGTAATAGATTTCTTGTTATTTTGAATTGAAAGTAAAGTAAAATGAATAGGTGCATGTTTTCGTATGATGGCTTCACCTTCATCACTGAAGAATACAACGACAACAGTGTCATCAACAACGAATGATACTATTTCTTTGGATCGTATCCGTCAGATGCTACTTCTTCCACCTGCAGTTCGACCACCAGAATTCGAGAATCCACTGGAGAAAATTGAGCAACTTCTAACCTGTCCGATATGTTTAGATCGTTACAAGTAAGATTTAACTTTCTCAAGCTAATAATATCATTGTAAAATGGAAAAACGAAGACTATTTATAAACTGCTATTTCTTTCTTATGAATTAGAAATTTTTACATTGATTTATATTCACAAATCCTGCTAATTAAACTTTTCATTATATATAATATCGCATTTATTGAGTGTAACAGTTTGTTTATAGCTCTTCATTAATTTCACAGCTGTTTTCTGAGATACAACCATATATTTAGCTAATTGTATGTGACTTTTATTCTTATTTTCCTCACATTATTCCACAACACTGTTTTTTAGTTAAAAATTCTCATATGACTGAAGAAATCTCCATGAAAATGGCACTCTAATTTAAATTAAATTAAACTTTCGACTGAGTAAAATGTGAGACTCAAGTTAGATACTTTTGTCACATTAATTAAAAATTAATCTTGTATCTTGATTATGATGTAAACTTGTTAAATGAAGTAATAAAGTATCATAGATGCTTCAACTGACAAAGTCTGAAATACTGAAACGAATTTCCAGTTATAAATTTGCTTCGGTCATCTGTCCACGCTGTGAAAAGAATTTCATTTGTCTTTTAACTTCTGACTACTTGTTGATAACAATTGAGTGCATGGAATAAACATCAAATGTGAAACAGTATGAAAGATTTTTTCTTTTTATGTAAGATTCAAGAGATATCATTCTGAAATATGATTCTGTTTTGCATTCGACTTGCTCAAAAATGATGAGATTAATTCATGTCTCAAGTCATTTTGTATTACGTTATTTGTAAATTAAATTTCCAAATCACTAAAAAAAGTGAGTGCAGCGAAAAAATTCTTTTAAAAAAATTCTGTGAAAAATTGTTATTATATTGATGTAACAAAACGTGTATTAATAAATGTTGATCATTAGAGTAATATTTTTGAACGGAATATTAGACAGTATTAGGAACTTGTTGCAGGTCAGAACTTCAGTTTATTTCATTGCGTTGAATGTCATTTTATGCTTCATCTCCTATAGTTGCCAATTTTCAAGGTGAAGTCTTTCAGTTTGACTCTTAAGCGCTTGACTTGTCTTGCACATTGTTCTTTTCCTGACCTTTGTTTATATTATTTCTGATCAAAAACTTTGAGCTTCAGTAAAGTTATGAAATAAAAAATGAAATGACTTTATGTAATAAGTGATAATTAAGATGAAGCATCTGATCTATGTTTTTCGAAAAATTTATCTAAGAATATTTCTAATATTGATTCTGGCTTCTTTTCAACTGATCTCCAAATATTGTGCACACAAATTATTGAATACCAATAGTTAAATAGTTAATTAGTGTAATTATCAGCCCTGATGAAAGTAACTATGCTTATATCGTTATTGACTAAAAAGTTAGAAGGTTCGCAATGAATGCAAACATATCAGTGACTTTTCTTTCATTTTTTCATACTTTCAAACTTTTCTTATAAGATTTGCATCGTCTTTATTGAATTTGTATTAAGTACGAACTATTTGAATTTTGCCTCTGCTCACTCACATCAAAACAATATTAACGTAAGTTCAAAATGTTTTGAGGCATTTTTCGACTATGAAATGGTGAAAGTGAACATTAGCATGAAAACTCTCGTCTTTCTCATCTTTTTTTCATCATTGCAAACTGCTGAAGAGAAAGAACGAAATAAAAGCAAAATGATTCATTCACTTTTGAAGATTCAGAATTAGAATTCGTACTTTTCAACTTTTTTAAATATCCAAGCATTTCTTCTCATGCAAACTTATCTTCACTAATTTTCTCCCAGAGATATTTTTGTTTGAAATGTTTCACGCTGGTAATTTTATCCATAACACTTTCCCTAGTACATGTTGTAACTCATGAAATTATGTTTTCATTTTTTGTGCACCTGATTGGATTCTTTCTACTGCTGTCGCTTTTTTCTTTCATATTTTCATCCTAAAACTTAGCTTCAATTAATTAAAAAACTTTGGTTTCGATCTCTGAAGATAATTTTTTTATCAAGGTTTATCGAAAACGTCATCGTAATTGTGTGAAGGAAAAAAATGTGGATGAATGATTTATATTTAGTGTGATTTTGGAATGAGTACATCGTTTTTGAAAATTGCATCATGAAATTTCAATTAAAACTCTAAAATTTTTCAAATTCCATATGCTTTTTTTAATGTTAAAATAAGTGATACAGTCTGTAAAGAAAAGAGACGAATAATTTAATGTTGCTATCTTCCTTTAATTTACTATAATAATGTTGTGTTGTAGACAACCTAAGTTATTACCATGTCATCATACATTTTGCTTATCATGCCTGGACAATTGCGTTGATGTGGTGCACCGAATCCTGAAATGTCCAGAATGCAGAGCCGAGCACCCGGTGCCATATGAAGGTGTGAGAAACTTCCAGTCAAATTACACCTTGACTGGCTTTCTCGATATTCATCTCCAAGCAACAGATGACAACGCAGCCCAGCTAGAGGCTTACATCCAAAGGTGTTACTTTTATTTTAATTTTCAAATTTTACTTTAATCTCAAATCATTGTTTATACTTTATAAAATGAAATCGCTCCCAGTTTTTTCTCTCAAGAACATTCATAAATATTTTGCTAACTTCATTTATCATTTCTAGTAACATTTGGTAAATGCTTAACGATTTTTTATCAGTCATCAATGGATTTAATTAATATCTCGCTATTCTAGCCTTCTGGCAGTGCTTGCCATAAATTAATTATTTTAATTTCGACTTTTGATGAATGAAATAAACTAATTATTTTTTTATCAGTGACTTATCAGAGGCTAAACTCAACAATTTAAAGTATTGTGTATTCTGTATTAGATGACAATTTGATTCTTTGTCACTGAACGTCTGATATTGGTCAGTTGATTGTAAATTACACTCACGATCACACCAACTAATCTAAAATTTATTTTCCTAAATTGAAAGTACTTTCATGTAACAGTTGTCGAGACTTAAGTGAACCAAAAATATTAATTCCACTGAATCAGCATTTAAAAAAAAATAGAAGTTAAAAGTTTCCTTTTTTTTTTTCGGAAAAAATTCACAACATATCTGATGATAATCAAATGAATCTTAAGAAGGAATAAGCATCTTTGGATGATTATCATGTTACTGAACTTGAAAAGAAAAAATCTTTGGGTGAAACTTATATATCCAGGAGTTAAACTGTGACTTCATGAAGATTAGATTACAAAATAACGCATAATTTTATAGAATGCTTACTTTTTTCTTCTTGCATACAGCTCAGTAAGCTAGTTGTTTAGCTGAAAGTAACTGGAAAATAGTTACTGCAATGCAAGAAAAGAAAAGATGAATGAATGCCGTGTGACTTTCTTAATGAGAGGTAGGGTAAGATTTCAAAGTTTGCACAGCTGCTCAGAAGTATAAAATATACAATATAATCGACCACACTTTTCTTCAGTTTAATTTGTTTATATCTACACAAAAGCATTTACAAAGTAAATAAGTATTTGTTTATGAGGAAAAATAAGCGGTAGAAAATAACTATTTCCACATTCTTTCGCACGTACGAAATAAATTGGTGGTAAATTGTAAATATAATAAATATTTCTTCATATAGCTTACTAATTAATGAGTGTGTGAGGATTCATTTAAAGAAATGATTTTGTCTTTTCATCATTATTATTTGGCATGTCAAACATGTTCAATTTAAAAATAAATCATAGGTATAATTTGGAACGATGCAAAATATGTGACGAGAAAGCAGTGCTTGACGTTTGCGCTCATTGCGATAGAAGAGCTTGCAATGAATGTCGAGGAACACACTTGGAAATGTTGAAACGTGACCTAACAAGAATGTTAAATCAGGTTGCAGTCTTTTTATTTTTTACAACTCAATCATTTAAAGGGTCATGAGGAGATTACAAAAATAGAGAGTCACCGAAAGGTCGCAGTAATTAGACGTTAATGGTGTAGTTCTTTTTAAGGAAAATTTACAGTATGAAAATTATGAAAAGCAGCTTTTCATATTATATCATATTCAAAATTTACTGATAACTTTCACCATATTTTAGCTTAGAAAGTTCTTCAGGTTAAACGTTTGTCAAATCGAATAACAGAAGCATCTGATGGTTTGAGTAAAGGAGCTGAACTACTATCGTTGAACTGCGAAACTGCTAAAGACGAGGTGAGCAAAGCAAAGTTTGAATGTGTTTGGTATTTCTAAAGAGCAATGAAAAAATAAGTTACAGTGTGAAAAAAATTATCTGAAAAAGTTGAAAACTGACAACAAAGCTGCGGATAAAATATTTCTATATTATTTTTTATGTGTATTTGTAAAGATCGTGCAAAAAGCTTTAAAAATCATTTTTACTGAAACATTTTATGTTTCTTTCACAGGTCAAAGAATATTTTCGTCGTTATCATCGCGAATTAAAAAAACGTGAAGAAATGTTCATTGAAGAAATAGAAACATTCAATGTAACCGAAACGAGACTTATGCGTAATCTACGCGACGTACTTGAAATCGAGAGTTCAAACATGAGTGAAGGTAAAAAAAATGAATGATTAATATACACCCGAGATTTTGCACTTCATTCATTATAATAATATCATGTGAACTCTTATATAGTCATTTGCTATTATTGATATAAAATAAAAATTGAAAATTACAGTAATTTTTTGAAAAAAGGCTGAGATTTGTTTCATTTTTAATCAAATCTAACTTTTTTTCAAATTCCATTAAAAAAGAAGAAAATAGTCATACTGTACTTTGTTTTCTTATACCAATATAGGTGAAAAAACTAAAAATAAGAGATTAGAGAGCTCTTCTCAAAAAATCATTCACAACAAATTCAGGAACGGAATTGAATTCGATTGTGTTGCAATTCGGTAGAATATAATAATTTAACCCTATAGGTTGTGCATATTTGGAGGCAGCACTGAAAGGAGAACGAGAAGTGCATGATTCAGAATTGGTGAAGTTAAAAAATGTTTTTGCAGAAGGACTTGACTACTTAAGGAATTTCCAAGTAGGCAAATTACTACCAACAAATTTAACGCTTTAGAAAACATTAAAAAAGAGTGAGATTCGCAAATTTTCAAATTCCGTTCGTCTCTGGTTTCGACTTTTTTTTGATTATTTAAAATAATAAATAAATCTGTTTTTATTTGTGAAACAGTTTTATCTAAAAAACAAAAATCCATACATTTTTCAATGTATAAGCGCTCTGATTTTTTCATATTTCTTGTGAATTTTACGGTATTGCTGTCTATGCCTTGCATTTCGAAGATGAGCAAGACATTCTAAAATTAATGAAAAGTAATATAATGGAACTATATTATATTAAGACTAATTTGATGCAAAAATTTCTGCAAAGTGAAATTTGGGAATGCAATATGAATTTGAGAGCTTAAGATGCTAGATTGTTTACTTACTTAACCTTTCAAATTAGTGTTGTAATAAAAGTCGTAAAATTTTCATTCTAGTACCTTGTCATAAACAAATCTTTCAATGAAAATATGCAATAAACAAGTTGGGAAGTTTGTTTGTCGCAAAATTAATCCAACATTTATTTTCAAACGAAATAATTTTTAGCAAAATGAAACTCATGGATAGGGTGCAAAACACCTACCAAAATCTTAAAAAATACTTGAATAGTATTGTAAATTGTTTTTAAAATACAGAATTTCAACTTTTAGCCTGATGCCGATGAGCTTTTCTCGAAAAAACTACGTTTCTCACCCGGTGATGATGCTTCAAAGTTACCTACTGCAATTGCAAGTTTCGGTGAACTTACTGTTATGTTGCCTCAGTTCGCAGGACGATATTTACCATTGGAACAATCGTATCTACCGCGCCCCATGAAACTTGGTTATGAATCCGACAACTACAGATATGCTAGTAAACGCACAGTCGATTTGGATGAAAATATTTCACGCACGCAGAATGATTTTCGCAGTGGTACGAGCCGATACGGTATGCGTGTCAATGCCAGCGTGGGGGAGGAAGATGTCATGTCTATTCGTTATCGTCGCCGACAGCAGATGGAGGAGGAGGCCTGGAATCGACTAAGGCCTGAGAAGTTCGACAATTCAAGCCATCATCAATTATCAGGAGGTAGTGGTGGTACCAGTAGTAGTAGTGCCAGTGGTAGTACCTTCGGCAACACTTTTCATAGGACGGGGAATAGCCCTTGGAGTCGTATGGTAATCCGAAATAACCTAAATCCCACGACAACTACTGCTGCAACAATGAAAAGCACTTTAGCAGATGAAAGTTCGAACAACTTTGGTGGTTCATTGGAAGATAGTTCAGATAATGATGGTTTACTCGTGGACAATAAAATTTTGGTTCTCTCAAAAGGAGTAGTGCTCAATGAAGGTCAGCCAGAACTTGAATCAACCTTTATAAAAGGCCAGCCACTATCTGAAGATGTTTCACAATTAGATGTTTCTGAGACACCTATGTTTACGACTGCTTCCTCACTGCCGTCTAGAAATTTCTCGAAAACAGCGCAGGAACCATTACAGGAAAGAGTTAGCGCTAACGAATTATTGCCGTATTCTTCCAGTAAGTTGCATAATTGTGTAAATGATATATCAGGTTCTTTATCAGCAGTTAATTATACAAATGGTAATATCACAAGTATGAGTGCTGATTTACCATCCGAGTTAACAACAGCCATGAAAGTAACCAAGAAACCACCGCTGCCTCGTCAAATATCAAGTGATGATACAAGTTTGAATGAGAAAATTGAAAATATTCGCACAGCTCATGAAATGCGACGTGCTAATCGAATTCTAAAAGAAGCAAAAGAACAGAGAGATATAGATGATCACAGTAGTGATAGCAATTATCAGCAAGCTAACAGCAATACCAGCATAATCAGTGCTAGCAATAACACAAGTGATGAAAGTGAATATGAGAATGAACCAGTGCCAGTGAAGCAGCCGAGTAACCGTTTCCGAATTATCTGTCGCAGTTCATCTGAATCTAAGGAACCTGTTGTTCATCAACGTTCTGATCCGACACCTCTCTCTGCACCAGCAAAAGAAGCCATCCTCGCAGAAACAATAACAGCAGCGACAATTAACGCGGAAGAAACCTCGTTACCGATTCCCGTGACGCACTATCCAGGTGAGCAATTGCCATCCTGGCTCTTACGACGTAGACAACGTTATCAACGTTCAAAAACGAATCCTGACCTGCTTGCTGCCCTAACAGCATTGAATGGTCAGCAAAGTAATCTGGCAAATCTGGCATTTCTCTCTACTAATACTAATAGTAATAATTTGAGTAATATTGGATCGTCTACTAGTAGCCGTGTCCAGCAACTCCTCTTGCAAAAATCTAATCGCTTCACAGCAAGTACTGGTCATGAAATTAATGTCGATGGTAGCGATTTCGTTTCACCCGGAACCGCTACTTCTTCAGGACTGAATACTGACGATCGTTGGTCTCGATATCGCAAACGATCAGTAATCAGCACCGATCATGGAAATCCTTGTGAATCATTTCGCCTTTTACCCGCTCCACGTTTTATCTCAACTGTTGATTATCTTTCCAAATCAAAACCTAGACTTGTATTCGGAAGGAAGGGTTGTAATGAAGGTGAGCTAAATTGGCCTCGTGGTGTAGCAGCAATTAATGCTAACGAATTTGCCATTTGCGATAGTAGCAATCATCGAATTTGCATATTTACTACGGGTGGACGATTGGTACGTATGTTTGGTAAATATGGTACTGCTGATGGTCATTTGGACAGCACTGCAGGTCTTTGCTACTATAGTCGACACAAACAGTTAATAATTTCTGATCGCTACAATCATCGCATTGTCATTTATGATCAAAATGGGCAACAAGTGCAAAAATTTGGTGGGCACGGTCCATCAAGTGGTCGTTTCAACAATCCATGGGGTATCGCCGTAGATGATATGGGAGTGATCTACGTTGTTGATAAGGTATGTACGTGCATGAAAGTGCTACCTTCTGACACAAATCTTTAATTTTTTAGATTTTTTTTCTTAATTCATCTTCGTTGTTCACAGCTTTCAGGATCGTTTTTCAATTGATTATCTTGGATAGTCCCTATACTATCAAACACATTTTTCAAGTCGTTCAAAATGCAGTTCTTATGTCTGTAAACTAAAAACTATTAGCTCTAGTGCCACCACTTTTTGGCTAAAATAATTTATGATAAAAATAAACAAATTTTTTGAAATTTATTAAGGAAAAAAATTCCTGGAAGGAAAGAATCAAAAAAAAGATTAAATAAGCAAAAGCATATCTTTATAATCTACTTCACGATGCTTTGCTATTGATCAAAAGGATAAAAATAAAACAATTATATTCCTATAATTTTATCAATGGTTTATTTTTATCATTCACATCAATTTAGAAATACTATGAAATAGATTCAAAAAAATTACTATCTTGCTCATTTTTTGCTTCAGCTTCTGTACACAATCATTCCGTCTTTCAGTTATTGATAAATTTAAGATTTTAGAGAAAACGTAAGCTAATATTTTGTTCTAAATATTTTACAAATTTTTTTGACAAATCATCTATCTGTAAACAGTATTTAGAACTATGTTTGAGCAGTTTTTCAATCGCTAAAATGGCTTTAATTTCGTGGTGCAAAAATGGCGTGCATTCGCGATGCTATAAATAATAAAGTGGACGGTTCAGCAAAGCGATAGTTCGCAACCGCTTGTTTCATTAAAAACGATTGAAATAATGCTTATTTTTACTGGAAACAATTAAGATATTGCCAGAATAAAAAATTGAAACAAAACTATTTAAAAAATAAGCCCTTAAAAATAATAAAATAAAACCTTCTTCTTACTCCATGTGAGTCAAATTAAATGAGATATCAACAAGTAAGATTAGCATCAGTGTGAAAAAAATATGAAGTAGATTTAGGAATAAACAATTCAGGACAATCATCGCGTTCAAATGTTCGATAACAAAGGCCAATTTGCTGGCAAATTCGGTGCTATGGGCCCAGGACTTGGCCAATTCCATCACCCGCAATTCATTGCGATTCATAAGCGAACTGAAAATATTTATGTCACTGATAGTTCGAATCATCGAGTTTGCGTCTTTGATCGCAACGGCAATCCGATTTTTCAGTTCGGTTCTGAAGGTTATCAGGATGGTCAGATGAAATTTCCTCGTGGCATCGCTGTTGATGATCAGGTTTTGTGACTGGAACTGTCGAAAAATGTGCTTCTGTAAAATTATTGATCCTCTTGAAAGTCTTGAAAACCTTCGCTCTTCGTCTTTTAGTTTTAACGCAGCTTTAGTCATAAATGCAACAAACATAAAGGATCTTTCTTTTTCAAAAAATTTTGCTACTGCTCTTTAAAAGCTTTGAAGTCGAAACTATTGCCTTCAACGTCCGTGGTTATATTGCAGTGCTGACTTGTCTAATTTATTTAAAATTTTTGATGATTTTCAAGATAAAAAAAGTTTCTTACCTCAACAGGACTGGAAGTCTTCTTCTTACTGTCGGTTTTTTTGGCTGGGAGAGTCCGATCATTGCCTGGGAAAAATATTGTTTACTTACATTTATTCACTGATGTCAAAGTTCGACACGTGATTAATACTGCTTATTTGGTGGATTAAATGACTGAATTCAAGTTTTTTAGTTATTTTATTGTTTCAGGGTTTCATTATTATAGCAGATAGCGGTAATAATCGTGTGCAAATTTTCTATCCAGATGGTCGGTTCATGCATAGTTTTGGTACATGGGGCAATGCACCGGGACAGCTGAAAGGTGTTGAAGCTGTCGCACTCATTGGTAGCACAATTGTTGTTTCGGATCGCGAAAATCATCGCATACAATTGTTTTAGTTTCGACTTTTTCTCGATTTCAAAGCTGCATGCAGTACTGTAATCATTTATTTGCTCATCAGTTGATCGATTGGTTGATGATTTGCCTGACTATTGATATGTTCAACGTAATGTTTAATGAAAAAACTGTCTCATTTTGGCTACAAGCTACTATATTCATTTTGAATGCTTGCATAAATCTTTTCCAAAATTTTCAAAAAATGCTAATATTTCTTCGGTAGCTGAAAATTCTCGAAAGATAAAAACCAAAACTTTGTAATCATTGTGTTGTTCCATTTTATAGTTGAATTGATGTGGAAATTTTATCTGTCAGCAAAGTTTCCTGCAACTTAAATTATAGTCCGTGGTGCTTTGATGAATTTGGATGGATTTTTTTTGATTAAAATTCGTTTCCTTGTCTTGTCAGCAAGTAAACCACATCAAAATAAACTGATTGCTGTAATCATTATTTAATTTTAAACTCAATAGTGAGATTTATTTTGGCAGCCATTAATTCTCTGCAGCAAGATTACTGTGCACTGACCAACTACAATTAGTAGATAATTATAGTCATCGAACAACTTTTGAATGGTTGAATTAGGTTAAATTAGGTTCTTCTTTCGTATCCCCAATTGACAACTTTAGCATGCAACTGTCAGCATACTACTGCAATTTCAATTTTATTCCTTGGAGTAATTATTCCCTCTCAACAAAAAGCATCAGAATGCTAAAAATGATTTCCTGACAGGTTTTTTTAATCATAAAACTCTTTTAGGTAATTTTTAAAAACTATGTAGATCCAAAACTTGTGACTTGAATTCGAATTTCGAATTTAACTTGCTCTAGTGACG